GGAATGCTTGACATTCTTAGGCAAATGAAATAAGCGGTATCTCTTTCACCTGCTTTTTTTTTCCTAATTTAAAATTAATTTGCCGTGAAATACATTCTACCAAATCCATATTTTTATAGAATTTATAGAAGTGGTTTTCACATTGCCACACAGCATTTAATAATTTGATGGAAATGTTTGAATCTGCAATGACTCCATATGCCGGGGAGCCAAAAAGGGACTCCAGTTTTAATTGTTTTAATGGATGGGCTAGTCTATGCCAACAAAACAAAGTGCTTCTTACCACTTTCTTTTTCAGTACTTGACATCTTTTCTACGAACTCTTCCACTAAGGTTACTAGCAAGTGAATTAGTAAGAAAAAAAATGTTAGATCACGTAGAAGTTTTCAAATTTGGTTGAAATTAATGGATCTCACCCTGAGAATATTATTTACTGAATATGAGGAGTTTTATGAATAATATTGCTCCTCTTTAACAACAAAGCTACAAGATAATTGTTATTCCTAGCTCACAAAAGAAGAAACTAAGGCTCAGAGAAGGTAGGAGGTAGCTCTCCTGGGGTCTCACACTTAGTAAGGAGCTCAGGAGTGGACTGTTCAAACCCAAGTCTGTCAGACTCCAAAACTTTGTTCTTTCTCCTCTGCCAAGTTGTTTCTCTATGATCGGGGATGAGGTAGAGAAAGGCAATGGACAGCCATTAAATTCTGATGTCAGATTACAATATCCAGTTTCTACTAATGTGAAAACATTACACTACTGGAATACATTTTATCTAATTTTATAATTGTAAGGAAAACATTTCTCAGAGCTTTGTTAGCCAAATTGAACCCCAAATTGAAAAAGCTTTAATTAAAATATATAAATTTTCCAAATATCATAACTCGCAAATATATTTTATATATTTTTCATTGTCAACATGTTAGTTACACTCACACTTTCTAAGGATTATTTTTTAAGTTTTTTTAAGACTTTACAAAACATGTCAGGGAGTTGATTTTTATTTACTGTTAGGAGAGGCTAAATATGTACTTTTTTACATCCTTTCATTCTTTCTTATGCATGTACCAATACCATTTCCTTTCCCAAAATACTAAAATAATATCTGTCTTTTTGCCACTTGAATCCAGGCTTTCCTCTCCATTTTTCCTTCCTCATTGGTCTCTCAGTTTCTTCAACAATTGCCTAGGCTAGTAGATTTCCTCCCCTTATTTGCCATTCTTCCAGTTCTGTTACTTTATATCCTGCCATTCTGCCCTCTATGCTTCTGAGGTCTTCAAAGACACCTGCAATATTCCCTGACAAGAAACCTAGGAACGCCTTGCCCTTGAGTTAGACAGAGTATCTTCACTGACAGACTGACATCAGCAAACCCAAAAACTGATGTCAAAGTGACAGGGCAACTAAGTAACCCTCATTTACAAAAATAAAACCCAAATAAATAACTCACTAAATTCATCCTTGATGTGAAATCCCCAGCTGTTTCTCAATATGTGTTCTCAAGTATTAAATTATTTCGCAAGAAATAACACAATATATGATGTATACATCTTCAATCTTTAGAGTTATTTTCATTATTAGGGCTGCACCTCAGAGATTTACAGTGAACAAAACCACCCAAAGTGGATGATAAATAAAACTTTCTCTAGACATCTAGACATTTTCAAAATAGAAAAGAATTCCAAGACAATTGGAATTCTTACGTTTTCCTACAATACACCTTCCTCAAAATAAAAACTATAATTAAAGAAGTTCCATGAGGTCAGAGGGGGGGTATGTTTTATTGAGCATTTGTCTTGCTAGTGTTCTGCACAATACTTGCCACAATGTAGATCCTCAAATATTTTTGAATAATTGGGTAAATTAAATAGTATTTTGATGTCCCTACTTAAGAAAGTAAACTACTTTCCTCAAAAGTTTCAAAACTCATAATATATGCCCTGGTTTTCTTTCATATACTGTTACAACAGTTTATTCAAAGTCTAAGATTATATGTCTTTGTTGAATCTCGGGTTAGGGAAGAACTCCGAGCATAACACCTCACAGATAAGAAGGATCCCAGAGAATTAAAGTAATGTGTCCATAGATACACAAGTTGTCCAAGGCAAAATTAGAATCAGGTCTCCTGAATTCTGGATATTTTTCAATTTCATCAATTCAATTTACTTTTATTATTTAAATTGTATAAAGTATTATAATCTTCATATCTCACACCAGTGCATCTAAAAATGACTTTTGAAGTATCAAAAACCTGACTTTAGTTATTCCATGGGTAAAATGGAAAATGGTTTAATTACTTGGCAATGAAATAGTATTTATTAAATTCATTTTTATCTTCTTGCTTGCAAATCACTCTGAATAAAAAACAAATCCCAAGTGGCTGAGACTTTTCATAATGAGACCATTGAGAAAACAGGAACTTCCATAGCAAGTACAGTCTCTCCTAAAGTATATTGTAATGGAATGCAAGAAAGCTCACAATGATCAAAACAACCAGAAATTCCCATCTAAAAATGCTCTGGTAGTGGTTACTCTTAGTAATTTAAAAAAAAAAAAGAAAGAAAAAAAGAAAAAGTTATTTAGCTCTAATGAGAGAATGGATGGATAGAGCATAATCCATCTTCCCAAGTGTTTTCAGAGAAGTTTAGAATCCTGACAGTATCAAAGAATGAATCTACTGGAACTTTATTTGGCAAGTTAGAATGAATCCTAACTTGCCAAATAAAAGAAAAATGGGACCACGCAGATATTATATAAGTCACTGCTTTGATATATAATCTTGCTTTCTTTGTGTCATTAAGTCTATCGGTGATATGGTGAGCCATGAAAATTTTTCCATACGTGTAATATGATGTGGAAAATGCTTACACTATATTCATTTGTATCTTCTCAGCATCTACCTGACATAACCTTTTCAAAATAGAAAAGAATTATGGCATGGAAAGTATATATAGCTGTTGCACATATTTGAGCATCACAACTATTTTCAAATTTCTTATTCTGACAACCATTATCTGGGCACATGCTTTCATCCAGAAAAAAGCCAGAGTCATTCAAATTTGACTTATAAAGGTAACCATCAGAGACGGTTTCCTCCCTCTTTTTCTGGGACTAAATGCCTATGTTCTCAGTTTATTTTATATATTCCTCATGTCAGTTGTTGAAAATAGTCTTAGGTTAAACTGGCATTACCGGTTGTAAATTCTGGTTCTTAGGCAAAAAGAAAACTCCAACATTACAGAGAAACAATTCTCCCCAAACTATTCATTATCTTTAGTAAAATCGGTATATCAAATATGAATCTGTCATATTGAGGAATTAATAGTATATTGCACAAATGTTGCCTTTAGATACTGACACAAATGTACAAATGCACAAGTTATTAGTCTCCTCTTATAAAGGATTATGTTCAACAATCTGCAACATCAAATGCTTGCTAAGATTATTATGCTGCCTTGGAAATATAGGCAGGGAAGAACAGCAAACAGCAGCCAATGCATTCTAAGGTTTGTTTCCCAGGTTATCAATGGGAAAAAGTGGGAGAAAGGTATATTAAAGAGTAAAAATACACAAGAAGAGGAAGATGACTGAAGAATACTTTCAATGATTTAAAAAAATCATTCTCCATTCATGTAAGTGCCACAAAAATGTTTGCAGGACCACCTGGAACCAGTACTCAGTCACTCCGGCTCTCACTACGCCCATCCCTCTACCATCAATTGCAATAGTACTTTCAAAAGCGAGACTCAACAGTAATCAAACAAGATGAGTGTTCAGATTCATTCTGGAGACTTTTAAAGAAGTAAAAGTCCCAGGAGCAGACAGGTAAAAGTGCTATCGGGAGTTAAAACGCTTGTAGCCAAGGTCAAAGTGAGGATAAAAGGTGGACGGAGATTTGACACTGAATATCTTTCAGATTGTCTGCAGTAGAGTGGATCCCTTCAAAACAGAGCTCACCAAGACAGGGAAAGACTAGATCAGAGGTCTGGCATTCCTGAAAAAGATAAAAATCAAAGGTAGCTGAAATGCCTGGGCAGGAATGAGGCACAAGTGGCTAGAAAGGATGCCAGGGGAGTTTGGTGTACACCTGGAACTGCTGATACAGACATCCCGAGATGAGCCCTAGTCTGAAGAAGCCTGGGAAAGCATTTATTCATTCAACAAATATTTATGAAGGGCCTAAAATAAGGAAGGCCAGAAAAAAAGGAGGGAGAGGGCACTGTGGAATCAGGGAGGGGAAACTGAAGGACGAGATACGAATGCAAGAAGTACCAGAGAGCTTTAGAAAACCAGACACCAGGTTTACCCAGAGAAGCAGCTTGAGCCAATAAACGCCTGGTTATTGGGAAATAAGGGAAATAAAAAAAGCTACTGGGTGGGGAGAACACGAGAAAGATTAGAGGTTCTTCATCAGAAGGCAACTCAGAAAAATATCTGGCAGAGAGTATCTGAAGATCTGAGAAAAGGGATGCCACATAGAAGGCAGATAGCCTGTGGAATTCAACGATGTCAGAGAAGGTCACGCTAAGACCCAGAGAGTGTGGGAAATAAGGAGAGGAAGGGTTTCCTGGAAGGGGTTGGGGCTCCTTTGGGATGTTGGAGAACACAGATGGAAGACACGGAAATGGAACTGCAGAACAGTGCCTGGGAAAGTTTGGGGGAAAGAAAACAGGTGGGTGTGAAGGAGCACTGGGTGTCAGGGGACAGTGTTCGTTGAAGTAGGGTCCAAGGCCAGAGGTGGGCAGACAGGCCCCCGAATTTGGAGACCCCGGGACCCCAGAAGAGTGGAGTCTTACTCTTTTCCCGTGCCCTCGTCCCCACTTCCGCCCCAGCCCAGCGGATCGGGTCTTGCCCCGGGCGCCGGAACCCTAGGCCAGGCGGGGCGAGGCCCGGCCGCCCCCCAGCGGCTGGGCTTGGCGCGCACGCCCCGGCTCGCCGGGCGCCAACTTTCCCGATCCTCGTCCTCTCCCGAAGCGCGGGCCCCCCGTGCGCCCCCCGCTCACCGAGGGCGCCGTCAGGCGGCTGATGCTCTCGCCCAGCGAGTCCAGGTTGACCCGCCTCCGGCGCTGCGCCCTCCTGGCCCCGGCCGTGGCGGCGGCGGCGGCGGCGGAGAGAGCCGGGGCCGGGGCGACGGCGGCGGCGGCCGCGCTGGGCTCCAGCGGCCCGGGCGGGCTCCGGCTGCCGTTCCAGCAGAGCTTAGACAGGGGGCACTCCCCCTCCTCCTCCGGGCTGGTCTCCAGGTAGTCGGAGCCCAGAGAGCTGAAGGACTCGGACGAAATCTTCCTTCGAGACATGCTGCCGGAGGCGCTGCGGCGGCCGAGGAGGCGGCGGGGACGCGGGCGGCGGCGGCGGCGGGACCGGCGAGCGGCAGCGTTAGGCGCGTCGGGGCCGCGGGGCGCAGCGGTCGCGCTCGGCGGGGCGGGAGTCCCCGGGGCCGCGGAGCCCCCCGAGCCGGCTGCTCATGGCGGGAACTTGGGGCGCCGGCGCGCCTTGGGGCCCGGGCTCGGCGGCGGCGCCGGGCTGGGCTGGGGGCCGCCGCCGCCTCTGCTGCAGCTCGCGCGGCGCCGCCTCAGCGCCCGCCTCGGCGCATCGCCGTGCGCCGCGCTCCCGCTCGCGGGGAGGCTCCGAGTGTGTGACCGCGGGCGGCGGGCGGGGAGGGCTGCGGCCCGTGCGGTCCGGGAGGCAGAGGCTTCTGCCGCCTGCGCGCCTACCTCGCCCCTCTTCCCCTCTCCTCCCGCCCCTCTCCTCCCGCCTCTCGCCACTTGCCGCCCGCCTCCCTCCTTCCCTCCTTATCTCCCCCCGCCCCATCCTCTCCCTCCGCCGGTATCACGTGTCGCCATCATACTCATTGGGAGTCTCTGCCTCGCCTGTCGCCACGTTTCAGGAGCAACGAGGACACTTCGCTACTGTCCTCTGCGCGCCCTCCCTGCTGCCGCGGTTGCAGCTCCGAGGCGGAGCGCGCGCCGGGGCTCGCGTCGGACTGAGGGGCCCCAACCCCAAGCGCCCTGTCCCTGGGCACGGCGGCTGGGGAGCTGAGGGGCCCCGCGGGGCTGGAGGGGCGAGGGGCGCGGGCCCGGGGGCAGGACGTCTCCCTCTGGAGACACCCTGGGGCAGCCCGACAGCGCGAAGTGGAGGTTAGGGTCCACGTTTGTCCTTTCCCCACCTTTTCGCCGAGTTTATTTAGGAAGTTCCGAGGGGAAAGGGAAAGGGAAGCGGTCCATTCTAGCGGAGACGCTCGCAAGGGAAGGGAAGGGGCAACATGTTGGCGCCCATCCTGCCGAAGCAGCTGGCGGGGATCAGCGTTCCCCGCCGCCTCGGGCGAGGCCGCGTGGCAGGGAGTGAGGACGGGGGTCTCCTCGGGCGACAGCCGGGCGCTGAGCCTCAGCCCGGCGGGGCGCGCGGGACTGCCGGCTCTCGCAGGCTGCGCACTGGTGCTGGACAGCTCCGCTGGCCACCTGCAGCCGCGTTTGCCGGCGTTGCAAACCAGAGAAGGGTTCCTCTTCAGACCACCTAGGACCCGGCCAGGGGAGACTGGGAGGCGATCCCTTGTCTCTCGTCCTCGGGGCTCTTTGCGCCAAATATGCGATATGTTGCACTTGGCTGCAGCGCCGTTCAGAAAGCTAAGGGGAGTGGGGAGAAAGGCTTTTTCCAAAGCCCTAGAACAGACTCGCCACAGCGCTAGCACATCTCTTGCCGAGAGTTTTGGGCAGAGCGGCTTCATTCCAAAGCTTGCCTCTCTGTAAACCAGTCCTTCCTTCCGCTGCCTGGCCCCGCTGCCCTTGCTTTAGCTCCAGAAAAGCCTCGGACTTGTTCTGATGTTAGAGTAAGAGATGGGGGAAGAAGGGCCAAATGACACTGTCCCGAAAGAGGGGTGTCCCCCTGCGGCAAGGCAGATGAGCACCCTCCCCACCTTCCCCCGCCTGCGGAGGGTAAAGTTCAGGGGCTCTGGCTTTAGCCCCCCCCCCATGACACAGAAAGCAAAGATTTCCCCACCCCCACCCCCCAAGGACTGATCCTCCCAGGTGGAGGCAGAAAGATTTGCAGGGACTGCTTATTTAAAGACAAAACAAAACAAAAATACAAAACTTTTTTTGTATTCCTGCCCAAATTTGCTTTTAATTCTAAATCTTCCCAAGTGTTTAAGAGGCCCCAAATATAAATGTTGTTTGAGGTTCCCCTTTATACTTTGGAAAAATCCACTCAAACTGGTTCAGAGACATGCTTTATTCCCAGATCTTAAGCGAGCGTTAAAGATACAAAAAGCGTGTACTGTCTCTCACACGCTCCCCTTCAATATATATATATATATATGTGTATATATATATATATATTCTTTCTCAGACTGCTGAGGAAGTTTCTAACGGCGTAGTTTCTCATCTTAGCAGAGAAAACCCAGGCTTGTCTTTGGAGAAACTGTTCAATATTCTTGTTGCGTAGTATCAATCACAGCATACAAGGGTGGAGATCCTGGTTCTCTTCTTTAGTAATGATCTAATTGTCAAGTTCTTTAGAATCATGACTATTGGAGCTATTATTAAAGATACTAAGTAGCATATCCTTCACATTTTTTCGATAAATCACTGCTACACACACACACACACACACACAAAATATTACAGTAATAGTAAATAACCTTCCTATTGAACTTAGAACTGGAACTTTTTACTAACCATTCCAATTCTTGTTTCAAAGTCAAAAAATACTGAGTGCAAGTCAGTGAGTGAGTATCATTTGTTTCTAAAAGTTACAAGAGGCCCAGAAGTCTTCCTGTTTACACTGGAAGTTTATTGCCAGAAAGAACTCTGAACCTACAGGACATTCTTTTTCTTTGGGTGAACCATTTGAATCAAAGACTTATTACAGATCTTTCCAGATGAAACGACCTAACAGTTTTCTATATTAATTACCCTACTTTTGATCTTGATTTTCCCACTGATTTTTTAACTATAAACAAATTGAGGCCTGGATATAGACAGTACATCATCTGCTTTGCTTTCAAGGGTTTCAAACCGTTGTATTTCTGTTCAGGAGCAGGGTTCAAAAGTTGTCAGTATGAAGAGTGCTGTGCTCTATTCTTGAATTAACATTTTTTAAATGAATTATAATCTATTCTCCGATTTGGGGGTTTAAAAAAAGCCTTACGTTAGTAAAAGTAATCTAAACACTTTAGGCAGAGTAGTCCACTGAAAATAAATAGTCTGTGCTCTGATTTTAGGAAAAGAAACTTGTACAAATTCATGCCCACAAATCCAGCCCTGCTGAATGTTTCAATAAAGCCCTTAAAGCCCAGTCTCCTGGGAAAGGAAAACACAAAAATATACTTGGTTTATTTGTAAAGTTGGTGAGGGCATCTGAAGACTCACTCAGATTGATCAAGCATTGGGAAAGACACCCTAAAAATCAGATTCTCCACCTTCATCAAAATGGTGATTATTCCCCCTTTTAACATAAAATAATTATTGTTTGCGTATATATTACCTTCATTTAAAGTGTTGCTGTTTATAAACTTTCATTTACATTGCTTCAATTAATTTGATTTCATCCTTCCCAGAGAAGTAGGTGAAAAAAAAAAAATCACCTCTGTCAAATTAACAACAACAACAACAACAACAAAACTACAGTCAGTCCTTGTTCTCTAAGTTCTTTGCATTTCAGAGGTCCAAACTCCTAATTTCTTTTCATCTATCTAAGTCTCCAGCAAGGAAACCTGCAACATCAGCATAAGTGTTCCCTGAAGCAGAGCTTGTTCCTAATATCAGAAGACTGAGAAAATCTCTCTCTATAGTCAATCTTTACATAAATGTGGCAACTCACAGGCATTGTACATGTAACATTAGAGTAAATTCTCTAAAGAAATATAGTAGCTGGTGAATTCTTAACTAGGACAAGTTTTTCTGGATCCCTAACCTAGAAACTACACACACACACTCCCAGCTGCAAATTTAACCGTAAGTCCATGGTACCTGAATTGAGATTTGTCTACCTTCCCATTTAATATACCCTTCTCTTTTAAAAGAGGGCAAATGTACTTTCTTGGTGAACAGCTGTGAGAAAATAAAAATAGAGATAGTGTACTTCATATTCTTGCATAATTTTATAAGGAAAACTAAATATTAAAGATACTATCAAAGTGAAAAGAACCGTCTGCTTTGTTCACGTATAAAGGGACACATAGAAGACAATGTAATCCATCATCCTACGGTTATATTTTATGGGGGAACCATCCTGAAGGAGTAGGATAGTTGCTGCTCAAAAAAAGGAGGAGGAGGAAGGCATTGAGGAAAAGGGGAAAAGAAATAAAGAAAAGCAACAAAGTCAATACTACACTTAGTAGAATTTGTACCAGAAAGATATTTAATGAGTGGGATGGCTGCCTAGTTTTAATGCCACCAAATCCAAGGCAGCAAGAAAGAGGGCAAAGTAATCAGTATATTTTGGTACCTCTGGCAGACCCCACTCTCTCCCTAAAGTGGCTTTGCATTCCCCATATACTGCAGAAATCCATGCTCCTCTTGAGAAGAAGCCCTGTAAGTCAATGCCTCAAACACTAACACTACAGCCTCCTACAATTCTCAGCCTTTTTGTCTGCGGACTCAACAATCCTAGCATCATTAGCTCTCTATACACTTTCTGTGAATTGGGATTCTAGATCCCAACACAATAGGACATTTTCGCAAGTATGTAAGTATGGAAATTCTGGCACAGAGATTTTTAAATACCTTCCCAATGTTATGGAGCAGATAAATATTAGAGTCAGAATTTCAAGCCTGACTTCTAAGTCCATGCTGTTTCTACTGAAACATGTTCCTACCTGCCTCTTGTCCTCAAATGTCCTTAAAACACAGAGAAAAATCTGCTGAATTAAAACCACAATGTGAGTGATTTATTGGGTTAAAAATAAATAATGCATACAAAATTAATCTGTTTGAATTGTGTCCTGGAACATAATGGCACGGAAAAGCACCAACATATGCAGTTCTACGTCTTAGTAGTTTCTTTCCTAATAACTAACTGTGCGATCAAATGCAAGTTGCTTAACTTCTCTGGGACTCAAACCATTCACATATAAATTAAAAAGTTGGATAAAATCCCTAGGGTATCATCAATCCTCAATATTCTATAATTTTTCTATTTGTTGAGCTATTCATTTTCTTTCTAGACATATGTTATGCACAGAAAAATTTCCCCTCACATATCATGAGGGTAGCTTCTCTTTTTCTTCCCTATCATATCCTATCTGAGAGTACAATTCCTCTGAAAATCCCTTCTTTAACTACCTAAGATCTTCTAATACTAAACTGCATGAACATAGTCCATGGAATTAAATAGAAAAGAAAAATTTCAACACAATCATATTTGGCTAGGTGCTCACCATCTCTCTGTCTTTTCATAACCTAATTCTTCTGTCTGCTCTATTATATAAAGGAATCATATCTTCCTGTCTGCAGCTTATTAAGCTTGGCAGATAATGATAATAAGTATGAATTATCAATAAGAGTGTCTTAATATAACCTTGTTAATGTTAATAGACATTTACTTAAATATGTCCAACTTGTAGGAAATATGCAATCTGTTGTTTATTATTTTATAATAATAAACCTATTTTTAAAAAATCCAAATTTAATGTAAATACTAGAATTTTTAGAAGTATAAACACTAAAAATGAAA